AAATAAAATCTTTAAAAAAAAAAAAAGTCACTGATTCATACCGTGTAATTATGAGCTGTTTGGGGAAATCTTTTGGTATAGCTAATTATTTGGTTAGGAAAAAAACTGTATTCTGTGGGTTTGGTTCTGATGTTAGCATATTCAGACAGATTTTTATAGTTTGGTTGATTCCAGCTTGATTCCCAGCACCTAGTATGTACCAAACATGCAAATAAACATTGAATACATACTTTCCGATAACACTGGAAAGGAAATGTCAGAACTTGACCAAATTGTTCCCCTTCCTCCTTTCCTTTAGCTGGTAAAAGGAATTACATTGATCATCTTTTCAAGTTCTTTTTTCCCCCCAGTCAGGATAAAATCTGATAGCGGTGATTTCTTTGTCCTATTACTGACTAGATTGAAGATGGGTGATGGGGCTGATAATGACCTCTCACAGTTTAGACTTTGATCTTTCTTCCCTTTGGGGTCTTACAAGGAAACCAAGCCCCAGAGAGGTCAGGCTCTCTGCCTGTTGTCACCAGCTGGTTTGGGGTGGAGCCTGGACTAAGTCCCATATTTCCATACCCTGGATCCAAGATGCTGCCCACAGCCCACAGAGGGCCCAGGGAATTTGGGAGAGGAGCGAGAGACCCAAATCTTCAAGGTGGGGCCTGGCCCAGGTCAGGGCTGGAGGAGGGGCTGGGACCAAGTTGGAGTGGTGGGCGACGGGGTGTGGGAGGAGGGCCAGCCTTGCCACACGCGCTTCCTACATGGTGTGTACAGCCTCGTCTGCAGCTCCGCGTGGAAGAGGTCCCTGACGATGGCTCCATCGTCCTCATTCTTCGCCAGCCAGCGGCCACAGGGGAATGTCATGCACTTTCCAAGAGATGGGGCGTCCACCTCTACCCAGTCTACAAACCAGCCTGGAGCCTTGCCTGGAGAGAAGGAGACACAGAACCCACCAAGGAGCTCCACACACATGGGTCCCTGTGGGCAAGTTCAGGGACTCCAAACTTTCTCCCCCGCCCCATGGTTGACTTGTATGGCTGTACCATACACAAGCCATTCCTGTCGCCGAAAGCTTTGCTAGAATGACTCCTGTTCAGATGTACACCCAGCTGAAGGCTGAAGCTGGGTCACACTCCAGGCTGCTGTCAGTGAAATTAGCAAGAGCACAGGAGCCTGGAGAAGAGGTGACAGGTGACAGCAAGCACACTGTCCAGGGTGGAAGACACTCTAAAGAGGGAGCTCAGAGATGCCAGAGAGAGCTTGTGTTAACAAGGATTTCATAATTCCACCCAGTGGCAAGGATGACAGTCTGAGCTCCCTGGCTTCCGTTTGGGGTGCATGAAGGGAAGGGAAATTTGTGAAGGACTGATGGTCTTCCCTGGAAAGATGAGTGATTGGGCTTAAAGAGGAAGTGGGAGCTGAGCAGAGAACTCTGTCTCTCCATCCCAGGGGCCAGCAAGAGTGCCTCCTTCCTTAGGCTTAAAATACTTAGTGAAAAGACCAAGAAAACAAGTCCTACTTTACTAAGAGAGACCAAATTTTGGCTGTAGTGTCAGTGGGTTCTGGGAAGAACTGGCTAGATCAGTAGTTCTCAAAGCAGAGTCCAGCAGCCTCAGCATCATGTGTGAGAAATATAAACGCTCGGGCCCCACCCTAGACCTACTGAATCAACGCCTGTGTGGGTGAGGCCCAGAAATCTATGTTTAACAAACCCCCAAGGTGGCTCTGTTGCTCACTGAAGTCAGAGAACCACTGAGCTAGATTGGGGATTCTCAAATGTGACCGTACAAAGAAATAACTGACGGTAGGGGTTTGGGGAAATCACTGGGGTCCAGGCCCCACCTCAGGGGCCAATTAGACCAGAATCTCTGTGTGCAGCCAGGGACTGAGGAAGGGACTGAGGAAGCTGTGTCACCATGGAAGGCAGATGACATCCAAGTTTCCTGCACATTCTTTCCCAGACACCCACAGGGACCTGTAAGGACAGAGGGGGAGGGAAGCCAGACCTGTGTTATCATGACCAATCCTGACTTTCCACAGATCTCCCAGGTCCAGCGTCTCCACTGTGAAGATTTCGATGCTGTCCCTTTCAAACTTGTCGCTGTTGGTCTTGGAGGATTTCAGGAGGGTCATTCCTGCCAACCAAATGGCCCCCACATGACTGGCTGGGCCTGAGACCTTCAAATCTAGTCTGACTGCCCCTTTTAGTCCCTCCTCATAATGACCAAATTTTTCTGACTTTCATAAAATTTAGACCTTGCAAGTACTATCCAACAGGCACCTTTGCATATTTAGTGCATATTTAGCAAGTGGGTGGTGGTGTCCTTTTATTGAGCTTTGTAATTAATCTTCAAGGTATGTATTTTTATTTCCAGTTTGTACCTAAAGAACAGGAGACACACCAAGAGGTCTTATTCAAGACCCCAGGAGAGAGTGGTGGGGCCCTAAGTCAGTGTCAGCTCTGTTTCCACACTCCTCATGTTTCTCTACATGGGGAGGAAGCCAGTGACAAAACCACCCTCCCCATGCTCCCTGGGGCATCAGGGACATCCTTGAACAGAAGGAGAAAGCTGGCAGAAGTCATAGAGAACAGACCAGTCACTGTTTGGACTGGGAGGCCCTTCACTATGGTTTCAAAAGGTAAACAGAGTGATGCCTCCAGGAAGGTCCCAGGAAATGGTAGAGTTTCGGAAAGGCCTAGAGCAAGAATGACCAAAGGATCCGGCACCATTACCTAAGGAGAGGACACTGAAGGGAAGATGTTTCATATGGCTTCCAAATACTTCTAGGGTGGTAGACATAGCAATGAGGACAGGAGAGAGGACCGGGGGCTCTCTGCCCCCTGGAGTACAATAGGACTGACTTAGTAAGATTTAGGAAGAATCTCTAAAAGAACCAAAGTTCACAATCCAGGTAGACAAGTCACCTCATGTGGAGATTTTTTTTTTTTTTTAAAGATTTATTTATTTATTTGAGAGAGAGAGAGAAAGGGAGAGAGAGTGCAAGTGGGGGAAGGGGCAGTGGGGGAGAGAGTCTCCAGCAGACTCCCTGCTGAGTGTGGAGCCCAATGCGGACTCAACCGCAGACCCTGAAATCATGACCTGAGCCGAAATTAACAGTTGGATATTAACCAACTGAGCCATGCAGGCGCCCCTCACATGGAGATTTTTAAGAAAAAGGAAACTGTCTTTCTCCAATAGGGCTGGTTGCATGTAATCTGTCAAGTGTGTGAGGCATGCAAGAATACACAACAGGAAAAGGTCAGTCTCTTCCATAAACAGTGCTGAGAAAACTGGAATTAATGTGGACACTTATCTTCCACCATACACAAAAGTCAACTCAAAATGGATTACAGATTTAAACATAAGACTTGAAACTGTAAAACTCATAGAAGAAAACAGGAGAAAAGCTTCATGACATCGGTCCTCACAATGATTTCATGGATATGACATCAAAAGCATTAGGCAACAAAAGTAAAACAAGTGGGATTGAATCAAACTAAAAAGTTGCTGCACAACAAAGGAAACAATCAACAGAATGAAAAAGCAACTTAGAGAATGGGAGAAAATATTTGCAAACCGTATTCTGATAAGGGTTTCATTACCACAATATCCTACAATTCAATAACAAAGAGCTAATAAGCCCATTTTTAAAAATGGGTTAAGGACTTAAATGGACATTTCTCCAAAGAAGACATACAAATGGCCAACAGTATATGAACAAAATGTTCATTGTCACCAAGCTTCAGGGAAATGCAAATCAGAACCACAACGAGATCTCATCTCACACCTATCAGGATGGCTACCATCAAAAATCAAAAGACAGCAATTGGTGAGGATGTGAAGAAACTGGAACCCTTGTACACAGTTGGTGGGAATGCAAAATGGTGTAGTTGCCATGGAAAATAGTACAAAAGAGCCTAAAAAAATTAAAAATAGAACTACCATATGATCCAGCAATCCCACTTCTGGGTATATATCCAAAAGAATTGAAATCAGGATCTTGAAAAGATATTAGCACTCCTGTGTTCATTACAGCACTATTAACAATAGCTAAGATGTGGAAAAAACCTAACTGTCCATTAACTGATGAGCAGATAGAAAAAATTGTGATATATCCATATAATGGAATACTATTCGGCCTTAAAAAAGAAGGAAGTTCTCCAATATGCAACAATGTGGATGGTCCTTGAGGACATTACACTGAGTGAAATAAGCCAGGCACAGAAAGACAACTATAGCATGATCCCTCTTACACAAAGTATCCAAAATAGTCAAATTCATAAAATCAAAGACTGGAATGGTGGTTACCAGGAGCTGGGGAGAGGAGAAGATGGGGAGTTATTAATCAACAAGCGTACTTTCAGTTTAGTAAGATTAATGAGCTCCAGAGATCTGCTGTACAACCTCTATCTATAGTCAACAGTGATGCATTATACATTTAAAATTTGTTAAGAGGATAGATCTCATGTTAAGTGTTCTTCCCACAGTAAAATAAAGTAAAACAATAAAGGGGAATTCTTGCAAAACAGGCGTGACCAGGATTTCCTTGGAAAGTTCTGCTGACTCTCCTTATCTCCTTGGGGAGGAATGTGGGTGAGCCTCGGCCCTGCATTGCTTACTTACCAGTGTTGTCTTGTGTGCCAAAGAGTGTGACGAAGACATTGGCATCTGTGCCCGCGTTCTTCTTGTCCCCAGTTTTTACGGTCACTGAGAATGTGGTAGATTTGTCTGCCGGGAGAGAAGTGTGGAGAAGTGAGTGGTAGGTTGCCCCTCCCATGGAGGGAGGAGGGATAAAACATACTGAGTACGTATCTACATTCATGTTGACCATTTCTATGAATTGCTTTACTTGCAGCATGTGTTGTTCTGCAGTTGCCTTTAGTCTGGAAACTTCCTCAAGGCAGAGGTGAGGTCTCCCCCACCTCCAGGTCACACAGGAAGCTCTCTATCAACAGAGGTGTAGGAGGCTTAGGGGAGACGGGCTCATCAGCCAGGAGTCTGGTCTGACTTCTCCAGGTTGGGAGGAGTTTTAGGGATGCAAGTTTCAAGGAAGGGAAGCATCTTAGAATTCTTGAAAGTTCATTCTTTCCCTTGACAAAAATGTATTGAGAGCTTATAATGTGCCTGGAGGGGAGGACACAAAACTAAATCAGAGCTAGCTACAACTATTCTATTCTATTCTATTCTATTCTATTCTATTCTATTCTATTCTATTCTATTCTATTCTATTCTATTCTATTCTAAATTGTAATTCTAATTCTATTCTATCCTATCCAATCCCATTTCACTCCATTCCTGACAGTAACTCCGTGCTAAGCCATGTACTTTACACCGAGCCTTATGCTAGACATGTGGGAACATGTCTTGTCACCTCCCCACTCTTGCCATGGAGGGATGAGAAGGCAGTAATGGACACTGCCAGAGGAGGAGTTGCCCAGAGCCCACAGGGAAAGGGAAGATGGAGACCGAGGATGGGGGAGAGGCAGAAGGGAAGGATGCTGGAGGGAAGAATCAGCTCTAGTTTAGGAAACCTTTCTGCTCCAGGGCCAGGTTGTTGAGGGGGTTGCTGTCACCCCCTCCCCCACCCTCCTCATCCTGGCTTGGCAGCACATAGGACTCGTCCACTGGCAGTAGCTCCCGGGACAGCTGGCCATCATCCTCCTCCACAGCCAGCCAGCGTTGGCATGGAAAGTAGTACCTGTGGGGTGGGGAATAAGATAAGGTTGGGGACGTCTCTTTGGAAAGGTTTCATGAAGGAGCAGTCCTGGGTGGCAAACTGAGAGGCCCTCAGGGGCCCAGACACTCCCCTGTCTGCCCCCCTCCCAAAAGCATGGCCCTCCCATCCTACCTAGCCTAGGGATTACCCTATGAGAGTCACTTGCCTGGAGCAGACAACAGAAATGAGGACAAGGTTTGAAGATACCCCATTGAAAATGGCTGTGTAACAGTGCCTGGAGCGTATCAAAACCCCCCCCTCAGGGTTGTGTTGGAGGTATCTAGAAGAAGAGCTTTCAGGGACTATACCAGAATGAATCTGGTAGCCAAAGCTACTTTGGCAGAGAATATTGTACACAGTAGGTGTTCAATACCTAAGGGCTGAATAAATGGATTTTAATGGAATGATACCCAATTATGCTTCTGGAAGGTACAGAGAGTGTGGCTAAGGAGCAGGCACAGCAGAAAGCTGGCAGCATCTAGGGAAGGGAGGTCCAAGTTAGACTCCTCAGGACTGAAGCCGAGCCCATGAAATGGAGACACCTAGATAAAGAGAAGGGGGGTGGGCAGGGATCACAGAGGTAGCAACATGGGGTAATTAAGGACTCACCTCCGGAGCCATACTGGGTTTGAATCCTGGCTCTGTCACTTAACAGTCCTGTGACCTTGAGCAAGTTTCTTTACCTCTCTGTGTTAGGGTTGCCAGATTTAGCCAATAAAATCAGAGGACTCCTAGTTAAATTTGAATTTCAGAGAAGCAATGAATAATATTTTAGCAGAAGTATGTCCTATCCAATATTTGGGGCATACTTACACTAACACATTATTCACTGCTTCTCTGGAATTCAATAACTGGCCATTCTGTATTTTATCTGGTAACCACACGCTGTGCTTCAGTTTACCATTCTGTAAAATGAGGATCGTATTGTTTATTTCAAAGTTGTCACGAGGATTATGTGAGTTAAACATTTTAAAGTGCTCATAAAAACGTCCGGCTCTTGGTAAGAATTTGCTAATACTATTGCTGTTGTTATTCTTATTATTGTACTTCCCTTTGGTTCTCCTCTGCCCATGTGTGCGATCTCAGGAGCCTGTGGGCTGGACAGCTCCCCTTGGGCGCCCAAGCTCCCAGAACAGCTCAGAGGGTCGGGGAATACAGCCAGCCCATCTGTAAACTGGGGCCATTCCACCCCATCTCCACCCCTTCCTGCCAGTCTGGATGCTCAAGTCTGGAGTCTGGAGAGGAGGAAGCAGTGTGGGCTGAGGGTCTCACCTCTGTCGGAGCCCCATGTTCCCCAATAGACATAGACTCCCAAGGCCAACATGCTAGTGGAGCAGAACCTGAGACCACTACCTCAGCCCGTGGGCTCACACCGGGTACAGAGGGGCAATTCTGTGTTCATGGACATGGATTCAAAGGGTGGAAGAGCTCGACCAAGGGTGATAGAGACTAAATTGCAGTTAAATTAGTGTTTAAGTGAAAAATGCATATTGTTCCACGTCCCAGTCTTTAAATTATGAACGGGAAAGTTACATTTTTATTCAACCAATTAACCTATGAATAATAGGTTTTAGCTCTAAATTAGGGCCAATTAAAGGAGAGACAGAAATAAAGGAGTGGGGTTGGAGCAGAGGCAGAGACAATGAGAGTGGGAAGCTGGAGCAGAACAAGGACAGAGGGAGAAGGAGACACAAAGGAGTGGGAGACTGATCCTGGGAGAGAGAAACAAGTCAGACAGACGGAAGGGGTAAGGCACAAGCCCGCCCACACCTGCCAAGCACGTGCAAGTGCAGGGACCCAGAGGCTGGCTTTCATGGAGTGCCCTTCCCACTGCCCCTGAGATTCTACACTGGGACCTCGAAGCCCCTCAGCACCACCACCGGCTGCAGGAGCCCCTCGGCCCGGCTTCTGTGCCTCCCACATCACGCCCACCGTTCAGCAGATTGAGCGCCCTTTGTTCCAAGCCCCAAACATCAAGGTTTGTGAAGGCCCATCTGAAATGCCGCCTCAGACCGAGGAGCGCCCCGACAACCCCCACCGCAAAGCCCCCCTCTCCCTGAACCCCCTCGGCAGTTGGGGGCGCCACCCTGAGACGCTCTGCCTTGCAGCCCACATGGCCCCATGAGCTCCTTCACAATCCTGCACACGCCCGTTCCTGCCTCGCTGTGTGGCTGCTTTTACAGGCTGCCCGGCTGGATCCGCACTGCCAAGGTAGAGGAGCCAGTGTCGCCTTCTGCTGGGGGCCAGGAGCGGCACTGGGCCCTCACACGGGTCATCTCAGTTAGTCCTCATCACAACTTTGTGAGGGAGTTTTATTACGCCCATTGCAGGGATGGGAGAACTGAGGCTCAGAGGCCCCCTCACCGCCAAGGCCACATACGTCAAGCGTGGAAGAGACAGGAATTGGACCTAAAACATCTGCCTCCTAGACCATCACAGTTTCCGGCTCTTCAAGGGCAGAGTCGGAATCAGCCACCTGACCCTCAGCACTTCGCATGCCATGTGTTTGCTGAATCAATACATCACACGTAATTTTTATTCGTTAGTTGACTTAGTATTTGTGGTATGTCTATTGTGCACAGGCCCTCTTCTAGATACTGGGGAGGACACTGCAGGGAACAAAACAGATGAAGTCATTAGCTTAGGCAGGGACCTTATATTCAGTTATGGGGAGAGGAACGATGATGAGATACTGCATTTGAGGGGCAGCTGGGTAGCTCAGATGGTTAAGCGTCTGCCTTCGGCTCAGGTCATGATCTCAGGGTCCTGGGATTGGGCCCTGCATTGCGCTTCCTGCTCAGTGGGGAGTCTGCTTCTCCCTCTCTCTCTGCTTCTCCCCTCTGCTTGTGCACTCTTTTTCTCTCTCAAATGAATAATGAATAAATAAAATATTTAAAAAAAATACTACAGTTGATGGTAGGTCAAATGATACGTGAGGTGGAGAAAAAGAAACAGAGGAAAAGAAATAAAAGTTCCAAAGGGGGTTGGGACCTTGATGAGCAGGTGACACCTGAGCAGAGACCTCACCTAGAGAAAGTATGAGAGTGAGCCATTGTGGGAAGGAGTACCAGGGAGAGGGGACAGCATATGCAAAGGCCCTGAGGTGGGATCATGACCATCAGGTTCAAAGAACAGCAAGGAGTGAGCAAGATGGAGATCAGGACCAAGAGTTAAGGAGGGGGCATGGGGCAGGCCACTGGAAGTGCTCTGGCTCTTACTCAGAGTGAATGGGAGCCTCTGTAGGTTATTAAGCAGATGAGGAACACATCTCTACGGGCTGGACTGCCATAGACACAGGAGGGCCGCAGTGCAGCAGGGGGACCAGGCAGGAGCCTTTGACCAGGGCTGGAGAAGATGGAGAGAAGGAGTCTGACTCACACCACCAAAACAGGATGGCGATGGAGGGAGAGGAGATGAGGAAGCCAGGAGTGGAGGAGGGAAGAAAAAGAGAGACAGAGGGAAGAAGATGAGTAAAGAGAAGATACCATTCACCAGAGTGATAAAAATACAAAATATTTGGGCATAAACTTAATAAGACTAGAAAATTGTGCAGCATTGCTGGGATACTAGAAGGAACAGTTGGATAAATGGAAATGCATACCTAGGGGCAGCACCTAATATTCTAAATATATAATTCTCCACACATACATTTAATGGCATAACAATCAAAATTCCAACAGGATTTTTTTTTCAAATCAATGTGTTGATTTGAAAAGGTAAGAAAAGCTAATATTTTTTAAAGAATAATGGAATAGGAGAGTAATATGCTGAGCGAACTAAGTCTTATCAGAGAAAGACAATCACCCTATGGTTTCACTCATATGTGGGATATAAGAAACAGGGCAGAGGACGGTGGGGGAAGGGAAGGAAAACTGAATCAGAGAGGGAGACAAACCATGAGACTCTTAACTATGGGAAACAAACTGAGGGTTGCTGGAGGGGGGTGGGTGGGGGATGGGGTAACTGGGTGACAGGCAGGGTAGAGGTGGGAGATGGGGTGAGCCCCAACACCCGCTGCCCTGCACAGAGGAGGACCCAAGAACAGGGCATGCTCCAAGAGATACCAGATCGCAGGCCAAGAAGTGAAGTCAACACATACTTACTGGGTGCCCACTATATTCCAGGCACTGGCAGGCCCTCAGCAGAGCCATAACCCGCTCAGGATCTTGCCTGCTTTCCTCTCTACCTCCTTCCACACCTCCCTACCACACCTCGGGCCTTCTTTCATGTCTATTGTCCCCTGGCCCCTTTTGCTCAAGAGGCAATGGGGCGTAATGGTGGAAACACACCAGATTCATCATTGATGATCTGGAGTTCTGGTCTTGGCTCTGGCATGAATTGGCTCTAGGGCTGTGGCTTCACTTCCCTGGGGCATGATTCCCTCACCTCTCAGGGGGACAATGTCCCCTTCCCAACCTAGCTCCTGGTGGTCGCTGGGAATCTGGAACAGGGGCCTGCAAACTATGGCCTGATGGCCAAATCTCGCCTGCTCACCTGTTTATGTACATCCCAGAAGCTAAGCATGAATTTTACATTTTTAAATGGTTGAAAAAATCTAAGGAACAGTATTACTTTGTGACATGTGAAAATTACATGAAATTCAAGTTTCAGTGTTCATGAATCCAGTTTTACTGGAACACAGCCACATCCATCCAGTTAGGTATCACCTATGGCTGCCTCCCTGTTGCAAAGGCAAATAGATCACTGAGACAGAGACCAAATGGTCCCCAAACCTAAAATATTTATTCTCTGGCCTTTACAGAAAAAGTCTGCTTACTCCTGGTCTAGAACATTAAAACAATGGCACCAGAAGCCACTTTGTATGAGGAGGGACGGATGGGTGACTAAGTCCGGGTATGGAGAATGGCAGAGACAGGAAACGTGACCTTCTGAACTGATGGATCTCAAGAACTAGAGGGAAGGACCTACCAGACTGTCCCCTGACAGGGCAGTAGCTCCCCAGGGGGCTGCCCAGTAAGAAGGAAGAGAGGGAGGCAATGCCCACCCAGCTGCCCCACCCCCACCCTTAGCCCTTTTTCCAGGACTGTCTCAGAGGCAGCCATGGCCGTCCCCCCATCCCCCGCCCCAAGCCCCACTCACGTGATCTCGTTGTTCATGTCCGTGATGTCTATTCTGTCCAGGAACCAGCCTGGTCTGTTGCCTGAGTTGTCATGGCGAATCCGGATCTTGGTCAGAGCCCCCAGGTCAATAGCATAGATGGTGAAGGTGTCAGTCTGGGAAGGGCCAGGGAAGCACTAAGAGGGACGGCGCCCCCCTCAGCGCACACACACACACACACACACACACACACACACACGGTACCTCCACCACACACACGGTCTGGCCATCAGCCTCACCTTCTCAGGACCCAGGGCAGCCTGAGGCCAGCTCGGGGAAAATGCAGCCGGCTGACTGGTGGATGGTCTGCACTGTCGTATTTTTACCCTGCCCCCACCAGGGGTCTTCTCACTCTCGCTGTGTCCCAAAGGGTGGAGGGAGGAGGGAGAGGGCCATGAAGGTGACTGAGGGGCAGAGGAGAAGGCAGGTTGGCTGGCCGCCCGCATCTGTGTTATGGGATGTGTGCGTGTGTGTGTGTGTGTAGGGCCATTGTTGGGTGTGTGCTGAAACTCCGAGCTAAGTGTGCACCTGGGTGCATAAACCCCTTCAACCACACATTTTGATTAAGCACCTGGGATGAGCCAAAGTGCAAATCCAAAGTGATTTACAGAAACAGGAGACTTGCCCTTGCTCAGCACATAGGTGGGAAGACAATGTGTACAACATGAGTGTGTGTACATGCCCTGCAGGAGGCGGGCAGCCTCAGGACCTGATAAGTGAATGGGATTCTTCTCGGCTATAACTTTTTAAACTCTTTATATTGAAGTCTACAGAAAACTTGCAGAAACAGTACGATGAAATTTTGCAAGCCCTTCCCCTAGATTTCGCAACATTTGCTTGCCCTGTCTCTTTTGCTCATTGTCTATTTTTTTCTGAATCATGTTAAAGTAAGTGGCAGATACCATGATTCTTCACCTCTGAAGTCTTCAGCAGAGCTTTTCCAAAAACAGGGGATTCTCATATAATCACAGGACAATTACCAAATTCAGGAAACATAACATTGACACAGTATTACTATCTAACATGTAAGTCTGTAGGCAAATTTCATCCAGCATGCCAGTTATGCCCTCTCTAGCGGTTTTCTTCCAATCTGGGATCATAGTGGCTATTATTTTTTTTTAATTTTTATTTATTTGACAGAGAGAGAGCGAGAGCAGGAACACAAGCAGGGGGAGTGGGAGAGGGAGAAGCAGGCTTCTCGCTGAGCAGGGAGCCCGATGCGGGGCTCGAAGCCAGGACCCTGGGATCATGACCTGAGCCGAAGGCAGACACTTAATGACTGAGCCACCCAGGAGCCCCGTGACTATAATTTTTAAAGGAAAGTATCAAAACATGAAATAAGCCCTAATCCTCAAGTCATGGCAAGGGAGTGTTGGAAGAGAAGGCAGACAGTCTCTGAAGTACATCAGAGGAGCCCACGGGTACTTTCGTGGGTTTGGTTTCTTTCTTTTCTTCCTCTGTGTGGAGGAGGGAACGTGGCTTTGAGATCAGGGGCAGGAATGAGTAAGGTGACACAGGACAGTCTTCCAGCCAGAGCATACTGTAAAATCTGGAAGGACAAAGAGGACAGCTGGGTTTTTCACACTTTTCCCACTATACCTGGAAGAGGGACATGCGTGCATTTCTTTCAACGCTCAGAAGCCTTTGTGGCTCCCACCACAGTAGGCGGGACGCGGGCCAGGCTTCTCAACCTTCTTTCAAGGCTCTCATGCCCCACTCGCCTTCATCGGGCTCATCAAGCTTCCCAGGGGCAGTGCCCACCCCGGCTCAGCACTAACACAGCGCAGCAGGAAGATTCATTGTCCTCGAGCTGGCCTTCCACATTTCCAGCCCACATCTTTGTCCTGCGGTACCATCCCCGGGGACACCTGTCACTGTCATCCTTAGACGTCTATACCACGGTCCCCCACCATGGCCCAGGGTACAGCTCTCCTTCCTACCATGTTTTCCCCAAAGCGCCATCAGCACTTCCTCCTTGAACCCCTGCTCTGGCCACTCAGCACCTGAGCTTCTGCTACCTCTATTAGCTCTGGTTAGTTCCTGCAGGCTTCACGGTGCTTGACGCCCCCCTCATGGGCCTTTCTTATGGCCCCCAGCACAAAGCGCTCTTGCCTACAGAGACGCCACTCCCATGATGTCTGGGTGGACTGGACAAAGCACCCTGCTGGACATCGTGCTGTTGGGGGCCAGGGGGTGGCCTCGGGAATCAGCAGTCTCCACCACCTGCCCAAGGGCCAGAGAGCCCGCACTCTTACCTGTCCCTGCTCAAACTTGTTCGGCTTGTCCGACTTCTTCAGGGGCCGCTCGCCTGTGTCTCCATACTCCTCACCATAAATGGTCAGGTAGACGTTGGCATCGGTGCCAGCCTTGGGCACGTTCCCTGTGATCACCTGGACCTCATAGGTGTTGGCTGGGGACAGAGAAAAATGCAGCGTTGAGGATACCACCACTCAGGGTGGATCTGAGGCTCAGCCTCTCAGATGCAGCCAGCTCACGGGAGCGGGAAGGACCCACGGATTCATCTGCACCTGCACTAGCCTGGAACTAAACCTATCCCTCCTCCCCACTCAAGACTTTCCTTTGCCATGAAGCCCAAGGAGGCTGGGAGTCATGGGAAAATGCCTTCAGCAGCCCTCCTACCTCATGCCCCACTGGGAGCCATAGTGAACTATATCCAGGCTCCTCCTGGAGTCCCGAACCCCTCCTGAGAGCCGCAGGACAGGGGCAGAGCTAAGCCCACACAGAGACTTGTCTGTGGTGGGTGTTCAGACACAGGTCAGGAGACCTATTTGGGAACCATGATGGGTGCCCCCCTCTGGGGCCGCCATGTGATGGGAGAGCTAGACACCCCCCTTCACCAGGCCCCCTTCAGCAGCCGGGCTGACCCCTCCCCAGGCTTACGCTCAGGACCCGGCCGGCCTGCCGGCACCAGCTCCACGGCCAGTTCATTATCCTCCTTGCCCCGGGCCAGCCAGCGGTGGGCTTCGAACTTGTACTCCTCAATCACCTCCTGCATTCCCGGCCCGAACTCCTCCTCTTCCTCCTCCTCCTCCTCCATCTCCTCCTCCTCCTCCTCCGAAGAGGACTCCTCCGATGAGGTCTCCTCCTCCTCATCCCCCTCATCCTCCTCGTCACTGCCCTTCTTCTTCTTCTTCTTCTTCTTCCTCTGCAGCTTGGCCTTCAGCCGCTCCTTCTTGAGCAGCTGCCGCAGCTTGTCCTTCTCCTTCTTCCTCCGGGCCTCCTCCTCGGGCGTGAGGTCTACCTCCCGCACCACCAGCTGTCGCAGCCACAGCGTGTCCACGAACCAGCTGGGTCCGAAGCCTTCGCCCGTGTGCCCCAGCCGGATCTTGAAGACCTCACCCACGTCCTCCGCCTCCAGCTGTGCAAAGCGCAGGGCTGTGGCTGGGGCGGCCCCTGGCGTCCTCCCCCCCTCCCCTGCGGAGTCCAGCATGGGCCTGTGTGCGGAGCTGCAGGATGCGGAGGCCCCGAGGCCTAGGGCCTCCAGCCCAGAAGCTTCCACCAACTCCCTCTCCCGGCCACATTCAGCCTGGTTGCTGCACCAGCCTTCCAGGACCTCTTGTAGGCCCCAGCCCCCACCTGAACCTATTTCCTTCTAACCCCAGGCGTTGGTCAGGATGGTGACCCTGTCTCTCTGTCTCTTCCCCTTCTCCCCCACCCCACGTATGCACATGTACGCACATACACGTGCACATCACACTCATTCCTGTTACTCTTGGTTCTGGAGCTTTCTTCATGCATTCCCCTCACCCAGAATGCCTTGATTCCCTCCTCTACCTCCAAGTAAAAGCTATTCATCCCATTTTCTGAGCTTTATTACTACTTTCCTTTTTAGTTTGTGCTTCTCTGCATTCTCTTTCCAAAGTTATTATTTTTTTTATCATGAATCACATATAACTTTTGAAATAAGCAAGAAAAAAGTGTTATTTTTCAAAAACAAAAAAAAAAAACTCACCCACATCCCCAGGAACCCCGAGCCCCTCCCCCAGCACACGGCCTCTTCCGTCCCCGACAGCAGAGAGCAGGCCCTGAGCTTGGCTATGGTCCTGGCCTGTCCTGGATGCCCTCCCTGTCCACATGAGTTGCTCCCTGCCCACTTGAACAGAAATTCCTAAAGATAGGGACCGTTCATTCTTGCTTCTCTCCCCCATGGGGTCTGGCATAAGGCTGGCTCAAAGGGCCATGTGGATGGATTTAGCTTTCTTCAGAAGATCAGGTCCTGAAGCCTTCGGTCTGCCACTATGTTCTAAGCCTCACACTGCAATGAGGCCCAGCCCCTGCAGAGCTCAGGGGAGGGCTCACATGGGGTGCCTGCTGGTTGGGCCACTCTTAGGGTTCCCCACTCTGATGGTCTGGGTGTCTGACACTTTTCAAAGTCTGGTGCCACCAATTTTCTCACGTGTCCTAGTGAAACTAAGGCCTGGGGCTGTCCCCATGCATTGCTCAATGCCCTATAATTGGAGTCCGGGCCTAGATGAGAACTCAGGTCTTCTGACTCTGTTCATGAAGCTACGATGTAGCCAAAACCACCTCTATGAGAAAATGATCAGCATCAGCCAAAATGGAGCCCAGGAGCCCCGAAAAAGAGGCATTTTTTTCTTCTCAGCTACTGAGAGGATGGGCTCTGGACCTGATAAGTCCCTTCTTCAGCACATGAAATCACTCCAGAATTTTCCAAGGCACAGCATCCTGCCATCAACCTCTGCAGGCAGGCCTGCTCACCTTCCCCTCTGCCCGCATCTGTCTCCCAGCCATGACTGCGTCCAACGCCACCGCCAGCCACACAGCCTGATGGCACTAGAAGATGCCCTGCTCTCTTACGTCTCCACCGCTGGTCACAATTTCCCAAGGACTTTCTCTGACATTGACTGTTTTGATCCTCGCAAGGACTGTGAAGCAGGCTAGGGAGGTAGTCTAAGGCTAGGTTTGAACTGATGAAGAATCTGAGGCTCAGAGAGGTGCAATGCTAGGGCCTCTACCTCCTCAGGGTGTAATGGGGGGTTGGACTCCGTGAGGCCGCCTCCAGCACTAAATGTTCCATACACCCTGGTCCAGCTCAGCCAGGCCCTTCTCTGCTGGGCCCTGGGGGAGGACTCTTTGCCGAGGGCTGTCTGTGGCCCACAAACACACAGAGAACACCCAGCATGAATATGCTTCCTGCGTACACATATCTGCACACATGCACGTGCACTAGTATCCCATATAGACACTCATGTTTCCCCCAAGGGGCATCACACCTGCATCCTCCTCTCCTACCAGCAATATGCTCACATCCTCATTTCTTCTGCTGCTCTACTCAAAGGGAAGTGCAGAGTCCTGGGGCACTCAGAACACAGCCAGGAGACTCCTCCCCAGATCCCGCACGGGAAGCATGGCCCTGCCCACAGGCGGGGAGAGCTGTACAACCAGAGGCTGGCAGTGGTGCAGTAATCAGGGGCCTCCTGCCATACTTTGCCAAATTAGAACCATCTACTCCAGCAGTACTCAGAATTGCAGCATGTTAGCCTCCCTGGAAGAGCTTCTAGAAGCCTAACCCAGGAAACACACCCCACCATAGAGGTTCTGACTTAACCGATCCAGATGTGGGCTGGGCAGTCCTTTTTTTTTCTCTTAAAGCTCCCCAGGTGATTCTAAGAAGAAGCCAGGGATGAGAACCACTGATCTAGTCCAATCCCTTCATTTGGGGGAACCCACTGGCGCTCTGTGGGCACCCCCACTGCCTTATCCCCACATACCTGGAATGTGTCCTTGGATGCACGATCGAAAACTTTCGAACGGCTGGATAGGAAGAGCACCTCTGTCTTGCCGTCCTCACCATAGATCTGCATGTAGACTCGGGCCGTGGTGCCTGCGCCGCCCATGTCCCCCGTCCAAATCTCAACCTCATAATGGACTACTGGGTGAGCACATGGGGGGAAAACAGGACATTCAGCAATATGAACAACAGCAGGGATGGTGACAAAACAGACATTCCTGACCCTGTACCATGTCTGGTGCTTCACAGGCATTATCTTCTCTAATCCTCTCATCGGCAACATGATGAGGACTATCGCTGCCATTTTGCAGGCTGACGAATTGAGGCTTAGAGGAACTGAGTAGGTGGTAGAAATGGCAAGCTCAACCAGTCAGACTCCAAAGCCCAGTCATCCACTGCACCAGATTCCTGGAGCCAAGAATGAGGAATAGTCAATATACCAGCTAGCATTCTCTACTGTATGCCTACCCCTGGGCAGACACCACAGAACAGAAAGAAGCAAAGTCTGTGTGTTTGTCTCTTGTCCTTATTTTCAATAAAGGACAAGGGATTGAAATTACAATTTTCTGTTTTAATATATATATATTCTTAAAGATTTTATTTATTTATTTGAGAGAGAGAGAGCATGCATGTGTACGCAGAGCAGGGAGGGACAGAGGAAGAGGGAGAGAGAAACCCAAGCAGACTCCGCTGAGTGTGGAGCCCAATGCGGGGCTCAATCTCATGACCCTGAGATCAGACCTGAGCTGAAATCAAGAGTTGGACACTCAACTGACTGTGCCACCCAAGTGCGCATATATATATATTTTAAGTAAGCTCTACACCCAACATGGGGCTTGAACTCATGGCCCCAAGATCAAGAGTCACATGCTCTACCGACTGAGCGAGTCAGGCACCCCTGAAATAATAATTTTCATTTAGATATATGCATCTTTCAGATGATATCAACAGATACATCTACACAGAAAGAGTTGTCTGTATTTTGAAGTAATGCTTTATCAAGCCGTTAGAGAGTGGAAATGTGTTACAGGTCTGCACCACTAGAGGGCATTTCCCAGTGAAGAGCAAAACGTCTACCAGAACTATGGGATCATAGTTTTTCAGTGACTGCTATAAGACTTGCACTCTCAGCAATGCCATAACACAGTATTATGATTTTTTTCCCCAAGACAAGACTTATTTTCAAGACAAGATGGAGGACCTTCCATTACCATAGCAATGTGAGAGATTTGGGGCAGAAAGCAAGAGGACTGGCTGAGAGCCTAAAGAAGTTGAACTAGAGATACCAGGATCAGCTGGGAATGAGGGTGGGTGAGTGTATGGACAACGAGGGGATTCAATAAAAGCTGACATTCCGAATGGAGAGAACACGCAACCTCATTCCCTCTCTCAGATCCTAGAGCAATAAGCAGCCAGGATTACACAAAACTTGGACAGATAAAAATTAGCATTCAGAGAGCAAGAACCAACTATTAGAAATTAACATGGGGTAGCTGAAATAAAATATTCCATAGCAAGGATAAAGTCAAGGACAGTACATAAGAACAAAAGAGGAAATTTCCCAAGAACAAAGTGACAGATGATAGAAAGATAAGAAAATCAGAAGAATTCCAACATCTTACCAAGAGTTCAGTTCTAAAGAATACAGAGAATATAGAGTTGGAAATTGTCCAAGAAATAATAGCCAAAGAAGTCCCAGAATTAAAAAATGCTTCTAGAAGGAGCCCATGAGTTCCCAGAACAAGAGATGAAATTAAAATCACAAAAGCCAGTGAGGACATCATGGAATTTCAGAATGCCAGAAATGAAACTAGGATCCTATAAACTTTTAGAGAGAAAAAAATCCCAAAGGGTTGGATAACAGAATGGCATCAGACTTCCCAGCTGCAACACTGAGAGCCAGAAGATGGTAAAATAATTCCTTATAAACTTTAAGCGAAAATGAGTTCTAAATCAGAATTCTGTAATGAGCCAAATTCCTGATCAATTGTGAGACATTTGCAGACATTTCTCTTCCATACACCTTTTCTCAGGAAGCTATTCAGTAGAAATGAAAAGAAGGATGAAACCAAAGAAGAGGAAGACATGAAGTCCAGGAAACAGGAGATCCAACCAGGAGAAAAAAGAAAGGAATTTCCAAAAAGATGGCCAAAAGGAAGTCTCAAAGGACAGTTTCATGGCAGCCTAAAACCTTTAGAGGTTCCTAAAGGAATGTCTTGGGACGGGGAGTGAGTAGAAGGAGGTAGAGAGGAAACAGAATTGCTGTTGAGTTTGGACTTAGGAAAAGAATTTTAGCTCTGTTGGAGGGATGGAGATAAAATGATGTTATGGGAGAACTATCTCTTTCCCTCCAAATTCATTGTTGAAGCCTAACCCCTAGTATTTCAGAATGTGACTTATTTGGAGATAGGGCCTTTAAAGAGAAGATTAAGTTAAATGGAGGCCATTAGGGTGAGGCCGTAATCCAATATGACTGCTGTCTTTATAAGAGGAAGAGATTAGGACACACACATGCAAATGCCCAAAAGAAAGACCATATGAACATGCAGCAAGAAGGCAGCTATCTGCAAGGCAAAGAGAAAGTCCTCAGAAGAAACATAACCTCCTGACACTCTGATCATGGACTTCTGTGGGAAAATAAATTTCTATTGTTTAAGCCACTAGTCGTGGTATTTTGTTATGGCAGCCCTAGCACACCAATACAGATAGGTAGGTATATAGAAATACAGATGGGTATATAGAAAACTATACAAATGAAAAATGAGGCTATTATTAACTTCAGAAAAACACAAAAAGTTGTACAATAACTGAAATGCAATCATCATACAATAGGAATCTCAGCAGTGAATAATATTTACATAGTTATAGTAATGTAAAAATTGAATACTGATTTAATTTTATTGAAGGCTGGAAGGAGGGGAAGTGTGTATGTACACACACACACACACACACACAAATACACCTATGTTAAAAGAGCTAAGCTCTTCTCTTCCATTGTAGGAAGTCAAGAGTTAATGTCTATGAATAAAATAATAAAGAAATTGGTAAACAAATTAATAAAAATATAGAGATAAATTTCAGAGGAAAAGTGGAAGTAATTTAAAAATTGTTACCTCTGAAGAAGGGGGATGGTAAGGCGAAGGGAACTACTGCTTTTTAAAAATCTGTATCCTGTTAACTAGTACCTGTATTATTGTGATAGAAATCAAGTTTTAATTTCTAAAAGGAGGAAAAGAATTGATTTTTCACACTGGCAGGTACCATTACAAAGCATGCATGTGTATGTGACACAGCCCTCAAGGAACCTACAGGATAGTTGGGGAGAGAAAATGCACACATGAAAAGACCTAAGGAGTTATGGGCAAGAAAGAGGTGAGTGCATATTGGGGTTCTTTCTCAGGGAAGCTTCTGGTGGAAGTGAGCCTTGGGCAATAGCGTTCAGGGTAGATGTAGAAATGCAGAGGTGAGGGAAGTGATATTCTCTGCATCAGTTTTTGGTGCCACTGTCTTCCTGACCCTCTAGATAACCTCTTGTTTCTCTGACCCCTACCATAACTACGGCTCTCACATCATGTACGAAGGGTGGCCAGATCACCTTGAACTTCACCTTCATTCAGAGATGTCGCCACCCTGTCCCCAAATGTCCTCCACCCCCATGCCAGGACTGTCACCCTATCCTGCTTCATTTTCTTCATCGCTTTTACTTGGCAATGTATTATATATTTATTGTTTGCCTCCCCTGGTGGAATGTAAATTCCACAAAGGCAAGGATTTGGTCTACTTTGTGCCTAGGGCAGTGCTGGCTCAGAGAAACAGTCAATATATATACTTATTAAATAAATGTATGAATAAACAGCTTTATCTCCTCAGCCAGTCTTCCCAGGGGAAGACACATACTGTGTCTCAAACTCTTGTACACAGGGCTGAGAATGTACATTTCTTAATAGAGTCATTTACTGCCTTTATTCCAGAAAAAAATGTTTCATCCATTGAGTCCTCAGTTTCCCCATTTGTATAATGAGCCCTTTCGCCCCTCCAAGAACCGTGATACCACAGGCAATCAGAAGCCCCATTATCTCCCCTCAGCCTCCCCCTTAGAAACAAGATCCAAGTCACCCCATAGTCCCTCCTCCTTCCCCACTGCCCCATCCCATAGGGGAAACAACGCTGATGGTCACTGCTGCTTCCATACATTTCTGGATCTCCACGACCTCACTGGGATAGAGCTCCACCTCCAGGCGCCCATCGGCCTGGTTCTTGTCCAGCCAGCGGTTGGCGGGGAAGGTGTACTGCTTGCCTTGGCGGGGCACGCGGATCTGGACACTGCCGAGGAACCAGCTGGCATGCATGCCCGTGCTGTCATGTCCGATCACCAGCCGACTGATCTGGAAGGAAACCCAGGGTGCGAGTGAGCAAAGAGCTGGTGCGTAGAAACCTCTATGCCTCCATCCCTACTCACCCTGCACCCCCCCCAACACTGGTACAAATTGCTGTCCTCAACCCCGATCTTCAGTTCCGCAGAAGAGAGGGGCTCAGCAGGAGGAGGCTGGGTCTCAGTCTTGTCTACCATCAGCCAGCTGGGGGACTAGGGGACCACTTTTCCTGCCTGGAGCCTCCGTTCCCTCCTCTTAAGGGCAGCTCACCTCTCGGGGAAGTTGTGAGAAGCAAGCGGGGGCAGTGGGTGTGGCATGAACTTTGAAAGCTCCAGCATGTACTTGGGTAGTGGCCATACAAGAAAGCAAACGTTCAAAACATTAACCATTTGCTTCCGATTAGCCATGTTATTGATTTGGCTTTGTTTGGTTTTAAACAATACACTATTGCACGTATTTTCTGCATTACTTCTTTGACATACCTGTCTAGAGGTGACAGGATAGGTGGACAACCTCTCAGGACAGCCTCTCTGTGGTTCTATGCTCAACCCCTCCTCTCACTCTTGGCCCCGAGGAACATCCTTCTCTTTCCAGTAACACTCAACAGTCCACTTGCTTTGCTATTTTACATTTTAACATCTTTACATTTAACATAGATGATTGCGTAGATCATCGTGTTACCATCCTTATGAGTAGTTGGTTCTTCAATGTTCAAACTGCTTTAGTGCTTTTTTGAAATGCTGTTTGCAGGGCAATTTTAACATTAGGTGGAATTATCAAATAGCCTTTGAGATCCCCGCCAAGTCTCCCCCAGATTCTCTCTGTGATGGTTTGGAGAGGAAATGCTAGCCATGAGTCTGGGGTCAGAAGGCTAGTTCTAGAGAATTATCCCTCCAAGCCCTGTTTTTGCTCTTACGAGTACAAAGTGCCTCTTTGAGCTGATAACGAAAACAACCATCATAACTGAGTGCCTGTAGCCTGGGTCCCCTGGAAATGGAGGAAGGAAACCAGCTTTGTTTACAAAGCCCAATAGCCTTTCGGGTGGGTGCCAAGGGTCACAGGAGGGCGTCACTGTGGTGCTGGGACAGTGACGGGACCAGCTGGCAGGGACAAGTGTCTTCTACCTGACCCAACGGGAAGCTCCTTAAGGACAGAACTCCTTAAGTTCTTTCAATTCCAGAACACCTGCACCTCCCTGGAGCAATAGTTCAGTCAATAGCGGCTAGCGTTGACTGCGCACTTACTGTGGGCAGGGGGGTGTTAGAACATAGTTAATGCTACCAACAATTCCATTAGCATCCCCCGTTGTTATGAATGAGTGAGGCAAACAAAGGTGAAGTCACTGACAGGCTTGGCAGGTAAGTGGAAAAGTGGAGGGGCCTCAGGCAATCAGCTGCCAGACTGACCCTCCCAACCTCTTAGCCGCACTGCTTGCTGGGGGGTTTCAGAAATACAAGGAAGGGCCTCAAACACCATTCCCCTCCCCTTAGATGTCTCATCTATCTGCTGGCTGTTGCCAGAAATCCTCAGTAAAGGGATCAGCATTTCACTCTACGGTTATTAATTCAGCTGGAAATGTAAATATATTTTAATGAAGGAAAACCTTGATTTAAGCTCATTACCATCAAGGGATAAAAAGGACTGACATGAGATCTTTCCCCAAGAGCATGTTCATGGAGTACCTGAAATAGGGTGAGGCTCAGAGAGAGGGGAAAGGGATTGTAGGAAAGTAAGGTTGCAGACGGGGAGCTTATCAGCATCCCGGTTCCCACTAGCCACACCTTGAGAAGGGCAGGTGGTAATAGGAACCCAGCTCAGAAATTTCTAGAAAAGTTTCCAATACTATGGTCCAGGGGGTTAGATCATGTTTTTCCAGATGAAGAGCTCAGACTGCTAGCAGCAGGGCCACCTGGGGCCTTGACAGAGGGAGACCGTCAGGTGCCACCTTCAAAAGCAGAATCTCTCCAGTGTTGCTTGGGGTGCATACTGAAACAAGTCTCCTGAGAAGACCTCAGATGCACACTCGAGTTTGGAAATGGGAAGTATTTTCAGCCCCTCTTTTCTTCCCTGCATGCCAGTGTCCCCTTCTTCAGTGTCTGGGACCCAGCTACATTGGTCTTGGCTATGTAGGTAAAGGAAATGTTGGGACTACAGATACCAAAAATAGACATGCCATCCCTAAAGGGACTGTGGAAACTTACCCCACTGTTGACATATCTTCTGCTGCTCTGGGTCATAGCTGGAAAACAACGTACCTCACCTATCCCCAAGTGGGCATTTTTTCCCTTCAAAATGGGTTCACCTGTGTGCATGTGAGTGCATGTATGTGTGTGATGTGTGTGCATGTGGGGGTGTGTGTGATGTGTAAGTGTGTGTTCATGTGAGTGGGTGTGTGCACCTACATACAGATATATGTGGGGTGAGTGAGACCGTGTTTTGTGGTCTTGGGAAGGAGACTTACAGTACCAATGTTCAGGGTCTCGAGGGTGAACTCATCCACCCGGGCACGTTCAAAATAGTCTTGCAGATTGTTGTTGGAGACCAGAAGAACTTGCTTGATGGTGTCAGATTTATCCCCGTAGAGCTTGATGTAGACCCTGGAGTCTGTGCTGGCCCCAGAGACATCACCTGTCTTCAAGCTGATGTGGTAGCGGAAGTCTAGGCAGTCCAAGGTGGGAGAGAGGGAGAGAGGGGTTAGCACGGGCGTGTGGCAAGGGCTGGAGCAGGAGGGTGGTCTGCAGCCAGGGTGGGACACTGGGCTGGGGGTCAGCAGCTGAGCCCTTACTCTCTCTAAGTAGCCCTGTGATGGGGCAGGGCTCCCTTCATCTCTGTCGGGTCCTCTCATTGACAACACTGGGATGCTAATCCCTGCTTGGCCTGCCCACAAGGTGTGAGCACGCTGAGAACAGGAAAGCATTCAAAGAACACTGAGTGCAAGAGACGTGAAGGACCTAAGGCAACCACCTTGTCCAGTTTCTCATCTGATGGATGAGGAAACGGAGGCAAAGGTGCATCAAGCTTGGCAGACAGTGTTTACAGCGTTTTATACGCAGTGTTGTTGCTAAGTATTCTGATCTCGGCTTTACAAGTGAGGGATCAGAGCCTTAGAAGGATACCTGTTTGGCTCAAGATGTCAACAGTTTGGGAGGAGCCAGCCAGGAGTGAAATTCTAATGTGGACCTAAAGCCCCATCATGAAACAGGGCACCATGCCGATGGTGCTCCATTTTAACACCCAGAAAGATCTGCGCCATCTGTGCCTAAGGGAGGATAAAAACGTCTGTTTGGCTAGTGTTACTGCCTTTGTTGCTCGTATTGACATCCGATGCCACAGTGAGACTGTGTACACAGCCCAGATAGCGAAGAAGATTCCAGATCCTCCCTCAGAGCCTCTTCCTCTCCACTCTCCCCATTGCTGCCCCGGGGGGAGTGAAGTAAAGAGCTCATGCTTGTTCCAAGAGCTGGCTTCTGTGCAGCAAGGGGAGGGCACCTCTCTCACCAGGGACACACCCGCCACCCGGTCATCAGGACGACTCACTCTTCAGTGCTGCATTGCTGTCACTGGGCAGCAACTCTCGGACCAACTGACCGTCATCCTTATCCTTGTCCAGCCACCTGGTAGGCAGACAAGGGGCTGTTAGCTCTTTGAGTGGCCAACGGCCACCCATCACGCTGCGCCTGCAGAGTCACCAGGGAGGTCAGAACTCTGCGTTCAGCAAAAGAAAAGACTCTACAGGAGCTGAGAACAAAGGGTCACCACCCAGACTGGGGAGGGAGGACTGCCCTGAGGAGGTGATATGGGCTGAGGTTGGAAGGATGACAAGGAGTTGGCTGGGAGAAGAGGGAGGTGTCTTCCTGAGGGAATAGCATATGCTGGGACGGAGCAGAGCCTCCAGGAGTTGAATGAAGGCCACTGGGGATGGAAGGCAGTGAGGGAAAGAGTAGCTAGCATGCAGGGATATGAGAAGGATCACAGGATATAGGACCCTTGGCAATCACAGTAAAGAGTTCATCTTGAAAGCCAAGAACACCGGAGTCACTGTTATCAGCAAAAATAACCACCTCTTTTTCGGAGAGCCTACTGTGTGCACGGCACTGTGCTGAGGGCTCTGGGGAGGGGGAGAAGGCAGAAAAGATACACTGTCATCAGTAATACACTGCTCAGCCCCTAGAGAACCTACGGTCTAGTTAAGAAGATGGGATAGACTAGGAGCGCCTGGGTGGCTCAGTCCATTAAGCAGCCAACTCTTGATTTCTGCTCAGGTCATGATCTCAGGGTTGGGAGATGGAACCTCACAATGAGCTCCACGCTCAGCATGGAGTCTGAGATTCTCTCTCCCTCCCCCTTTGCCCCTCCCCCCACTCATGCATGCACTCTCTCTCTTAATTAAAAGAAAAAGAAGATAGGATAGACTAGCCAAGGCACTGAAGGCCAGGACAAGGATGACTGTTGGCCCAAAGTAAGTGCAACCGGAATTTAGAGAAATGAGAACAGTTTGTGGGGAAGGGGCTTACTGAGTCCTCAAGGAGGAATGAGATTTGCCAACAAGGAGAAGCTGGGTCTGGACCCCACAGGGCTGGGTTTGATGGCCGTGACTCATCTATTCCTCAGAGTGGGCCATGGCCCCAGCTCTCTGCTGGCCATCCACCTGGGGGCAACACATCGGACTGGTTCACCCGAAAACACCATCCCCACTGAGCATGGGGATGCAGCCAGAGACATCAGACGGCCGTGCAAGCAGAGATGCCCAGGCCCCAGCACTCCCGAGGGTCTGTGATACAGGTCACGGCAGTAGAAGAGACACCCTCAACGTTCCCCAGCACTGTGGGGAAGCCAAGGTGCTCACCTCTGGACCAGTGTCTCCCCATTTGCCTCTGCGTTGGAGCTTGGCTTGGCAACCCAGCCCTATTATACTCCTGGCAGGGAGGTGCCTCCTGGCCACAGAACCCATCAAAGGAAACCAAGGCATCGCCTTCTCTCCAGCCCCTGACATGGAGCTCAGGCCTCCTTAAACCACAGTCCCTCTGCCAATATACCCCACCCGAGGGTAGGGTCCGCATCCCTTCTCTCTTGCCCTCCCTCCCCAAGCATGTGATCTTCTATTCCCATAGGACATTACTGCCTGCTGGCGGTTAGCTTGCACAAAATGTTAGTCGGCAGCTAAGTGATTACACTGGTCATGGGCTTTAGTGCTGTGAGTCTCAGCACCAAAATCATCTGGGATTCCAAGACATGAAGATGCAATTGCAGAATTCTTGGCACTGACAAAGAAGGGGAGAGGAGAGATAGTTGAGAGCAGGGACTACTGCCTCAAGTCCCTCCAACCAACCCATTAGGAGCCTCCCCCTCTGTCCCGTGGAGGTCACCTGGCATCCACAGACAGAGACTGCAGAGAAGGGTGTGGCATGGCCGGGCTGTCACTCACAGGGACGGAAAGGGTGGAAGCCAGCGGGCCCGTGGCCATCAGGAAACCCAGGTGCCCTCCCGCCACTCTCCATCACTCACCCATCCCCAGGCCTGCCCCAGCAGTAAAGGGACACCGTGGCTTGTCATTTTAGCTTCCAACTGATGGGTATTAATAGATATTTCCAGATATAGTCGTTTTCTTTCAGCTTCATACATTTGGGCCCAGGTTCAGCGTGAGATGCTGCTAAATGGGTGAGCCCCTCTGCTGGTGATTTTATTGCTCTTTCCCTGAGCTCACAAGAGATGTGCAAGTATGCACACACGTGTGCACACAACACGCAGCTGCCAAAGCTAAAACGCTTACACCACCTGACCCTGGCAGAGAATTTGATCAAGACGCCCACGTGTCCTCCCCCCAGCAGTTAACACACAGCTCAGGTGAAAAAGCAGCAGCGTGGGAGAGCTGGCTCTACCTCCAGGTGCTTTCAAGGCCTCCCGGGTCCCGAGTCGGTAAATGCCATCCCCACACGCCTCAGCAAGGTACAGGAATTCATTTTCTTAAAAAGGCATGAATGGGTTTAAGTGTCCCTGGGTTTAAGTGTCTGGGGGCAGGGAGGACTCCAGGGTGTTTGGGGGCCTTGGCTCGCCTTCTGCCCTGCAATCAGCATCACCTCTGTCATTGGCAGACTTGGCTCCTTTCAAAGTGCAACCCCGTATCACCCTCGCCATCACTGCAGGACACATGCTGGTCAGGAAGGCGCAGAAGACCAGAGAAGTTAAGAAATTTGCCCAAAGCCACACAGCAGGCAGGTGGCTAGACTCCTGGTCCCACACTCCCCCTGCACCATGCATGTAGCAATGCAGGCGGTGTGGACATACCGACTTTTTCCTCATCCCCTTTTCCAGGTTCCCTGTCCTCCTACTGACCCATTTCAGGGCTCGGTCCTCACAATTCTTCATCCACACTCTCCCTGAAGGATCCTATCCATTTCCCTGACTTTAAATTCCATCGCTATGCTCTCATATCCTGGAGCTATTTCTCAAGGCCCAACTCTGCCCACTCGACTCACAAGCCCCTCAAACCTAATATGCCCAGCTAAACCTCCAGAGTCCAGCCCAGCCCCACCCTCAAGCCTTCCCCCACCAGGCTCCTGGCTTCAGCAAAGGCAGCACGACTTCTGCCCACCTACCAAAGGCAGAGACCTGGGTCTCCAATTGCCCTCTCTCTCATGGGCATATCCCATGAGCTCTACCTCCAGGACCTGTCTCTGGTGTAGCCCCTTCCCCCTACCTCCACTGCCACTACCTAGGGCAAGCTGCCATGTTACGGACTTAAATGTGTCCCCTACAAATGATGTATTAAAGTCTTAAGCCCCAGTACCTCAGAATGTGACCTTCTTTGGAAATAGTGTCCTTATAGAGGTAATCAAGTTAAAATGAGGTCCTTAGGGTTGGCCTTAATCCCAAATGACTGGTGTCCTCATAAAAAAGGGAAATGTGAACATGGAGACAGACATGTACAGAGGGAAGATGATGTGAAGACCCAGGGAGAAGATGACCATCTACACGCCAAGAATGCCTGTGACCACCAGAAGCCGAGAGGCACGGGGCAGATCTCATTCAGAGGGAAAACGGCCCTGCTGACGCCTTGTACTTGGACTTCTGACCTCCAGAACTATGAGACGGTAATTCTGTTGTTTAAGACACTCTGTCTGTAGTGTGTTCTTACAGCAGCCTAGCAAACTAATACGTGCCATCACGGGCCCTGCAAAGCCTCCCACCAGGCTCCGTTTCTCCTCTGGATCCCCCATAGCCTGCCCTCCACCCAGAA